AGATTCCAGCATCTCTCATGACGCACGAAATTTGAATGTCATGAAAAAAATTATCAAACGCTGTTTCATACCTTAGATCCAAACACATCATTAAGGGGACGAAGTCCATCAGCAGTGATGGACGAGGAGATTTGGGCTGTAATGGTTGACATCAACAGCATTCCGATGATCATCCACAATGAAGCATACATCCGAGCCAGCGATGATTTAGGAGCTTTGTCACCATAGCTACCATGTCAGTGATGAAAAAAAAAAATACAAACAGAGCGTTATTTTTCATATACATTATTTATGTTAAAATAACTAGACTATGCACACTTAATTTCAATCCGTGATAGTTTACTCGGGCCTCGCCATCATCGACCATCACATTAAAGAAATCTCGAGCTCACACACCTGTACATGTAATAATCAATTTGTTAATTATAAAATGTTGTCATGATAAGTCGGCTACATTGTATGGCAAGAGAGAGTATCGTGCAAAATTAAAGTTTGCAGTCTCTTACCCGACTGTTGTCATGGTAACCACTGCCCACCACAATCCGTCTTGAACACCTCTCCAAAACGAGTCTGGAAAATGACCTGAATTTGCTCTGTGATCCTGTGAAAAGGTTAATTGTTTTTGAAACTAAAGAACAGTGACAACTGTTATGCGCAGGTGGCGACAAATATCGAAATACGCTCTCAAAGGACACGCGATACTTATTTAAGTCTTCTTTTACGAACTGAACAAATTCCTGTTTCAAATTGATGAATCTGAGAAATAAGTGAGCAACGCATGAAAGTAATGCAGTACAGAGTATGAACAACCTCCGGTGAGCCGATGAAATCTCCGCAGAAATTTTATGCATTACACGAGATTTGAATATAAATATGTCGATATTCTGTTGATGATGTCGTCAGTTTTGGTCTGTGTTCCAAAACTGTTTTTGAAGTGAGGCGACAGGTGCCGTAAAGAATTTGTATAGGATATGATGATTAACTCATGAAGCAATTTTTTGTTTTTTCTTTGCTTCGTTTGGACTATTTAGATTAAGTCGCTATTTTCCTCTTTACTGATACCAGTCGTTTCGAGAAATGGGAAACTTGCCTGAAAAACTTTTTTCATACATATCAATTGACTTTTATTTCGTCGCTGCCACTTTTATGGTACATTTCTTAGTTTTCCTCCGTAATGATTCCGGAGATGAAGATCTTTGAACAAAGCTTGAATTTAACAACTGTCAGTGACATGACGCTTTCTTCAAACTTTCCAGTTTGAAGCAAAGACAGTTAACATATTCAGATAGAAACCAAAAAAAAAAAAAATGATATAAATACCATTCGATTAGCTTTTGTTCATGTGGATTACAATTTCTCTTTCAACTTCCTGAAATATTATACCGCTGTCAGTGCAATCATAAAGTTTCAGATGGAAAGGTATACTGATCATTGTCAGTATCAGAAAAAAGAAAAAAAACCATCCTTAATATCCCCATGAATGTTGAGTCGATTCAACACCAACCTTTGCCATTCGTATAATTCAGACGATCAACTTTTGTAAGGATACAAAAAGACTTCGGAATACCTACCAAAAACCAAATGACAATTCCTGACAGCATGGCAGCTATTATGCAAAGAACAAGAAGTTTCCATATTTGTGCAAATGCGTGAACGATTTGTCGGCCGGTGGTAAACGATTCTTCTTTGATGACCAATACAGAAGAGAACTCCCTTTCTAAGAGTGTAGCATTTGAAGAGCAAGAAAAGAGTGGAAATGTTACATTTACAATTGGACCGTTACAACCAGTGGTTTCATTGACTTTTGAATAATTTGAAAGGCAGTCTTCTATGATCTCATTCACTGTGTCGTTCCACTCAGACTGCTTATGTCTCGCAAAAAAATCCCCAATCCAGTTGAAGCTCACACAACCATCGATTGAAGCATTTTGATCTTTCGATGGATGAGCCACTTTGACCTGTGTGATGATTAAAACGAAGAGAAAACACTTGCACGACATTTTAGTGCAGGAGACAACCCGCACGTTCTGTTGGTTCTTGGAGGCAGTAATATTTACGAACCAGTTGAGGCAAAGTGTTTATCAATAGCACCTTGTCATGTCACCGACAGATGTTTCAAGGAAACTTTTTTTAATTGCAGGCACTCAAAGAATCGTGGCGGGAAACCTTCAGAATGAGAAACTTTCGGATGAATATGACAATATGGTAACAAAATATTAATATTGTGTCAGAAACTCCCGGGGGGGCATTTCCATATCATAGTGGGGCATTTCCATTTTAGGTCTTGATATTGAGTGTCTTTTATGAATTGTATTGCAGTCGTATGTACAACTTCAAATGTCTTAAACCCATTTCAAGCGGTGAAATGTTAATGATCTGAAAGGTACTGAACCCAATCCCTTCTATTACTCACATGAAAAGATCGACGTTTAAATCTTTGACGGTTTTCATATCTTATTTGGGTCGACCCAAGAATTACGTCAGAGTTGTTTAACATGGGAAGGTCCACTGGAAAATGACTTAACTTCAATTGTCCAACTTTTTATGTTCTGAAGATAACCCATGAATAGGTATAATTTATTTTTTTCTTTCGTCCTATTAAAGTGTATGTTAAACTGTTTAAATTTGTCAACCTTCATTATTGGGTCGACTCAATGAACTATTTCAATTCTATACAGGAAACATTTGGCCTTCGATCTTTTAGTTTTGAATTAATCAATGAACTTTATTTATCGAAGGTGTATATAACAGAGTGTACTAGTACACTAATGGCTCTCAACAAATATTGTATTAAAAAACATCTATAAAACAGATTTAAGCTTTAAATTGTGAATTATTGTCAAACAAAGAGTTGTAATTGACTCGTCCAACTGAGTTCGTGTTCTTAACGCGCAAGTTACATTTAAGTTCGTTCGCTCTTCAGCCATGGCTTACTTTTAAAGCGTGCAAAAAGAAAAAAAATCCGCATTTCACCAGAGGGAACAAAGATTCTAATTGGTAATATTTTCAATAGTGTTC